CTTGGGCACCTGTTGCGGTTGATGTCACTTCAAGTTTTACCCATGGGTCTTCTTAGTGAGCAGCCTCATCTTGAAGGCTCATTCCATGTACCACTCAGAGATGAGAAAACAAACTTCTAAAGCAGCAACACCACTATCAGATTGGTGGTATATTCAGATTGAAGGCTAGGTTGGTCAAGGTTCATTTATCAGCTTTAGGACTGCATGTCACTTACTTCCTCAGAGGCTGTGTTTATTTTGCTTGATTTCTTATTGTTGAACTTAGCAACAGTGTATTTCAGATGAAATCCTATGTCAGAAATGTGCTTTTCAAATATTTTCTCACTTATGGCATCTTCTATTTTCATTCACTTGACAGTGTATCCTCAGAGTAGAAGTTTTTAATCTGGTTAAACTACATTTTTAATTGTTTTGTGCATTGCAGTTGTTTAATAATTCATATAAATTACTTGTACAAAGGGTTTTCATTGTGATATTTAAACTTGCATAGAATGTATTTTGATCAAATTGGCTCCATTTATGTTACTCTTTTTAAACAATCATCCTCATTTCCCTTTCATTTAGCAGTTTTTGGTGGGTTTGATTGTGCTATTTTCATATGTACATGTATGTAGTTCTATTATATTCACCCCCATTACCCTGTCCTGTCTCCCCTCTCCCACTCATTAGTCCTCCTGAAAGAGTGTCTCTTTGTACCATTATATCATATTATTATGTTAATTTAGGTCTAGATTCTACATATGAGAAAAATATCATGTTATTTTATCTGCAAAATAATTACTAAACACAATGTTACCTAGATTTTTTTTAGACATTTCATACTTTTTCATTGTGCATTTAGGCTAATGATATATTTACAGCTAATTTTTGTGAAAGCAGTAAGGACTTAGTCAAGATTCATATTTTTTCATGTGGATTTTCAGTTTTTATGTCATCTTTTGGTGGAAGGCCTATCCTTTCCCCACTGAATGCTATGATTCTTGGAAACAGCCACAAGTGGAACATCAGGAATTTGAATCAGAGGTGACATGAGAGTGAACTCATATTGTGTATCTCTTAATCAAGGATTTTTCTCCTTAAGGTTTCTCATTCCACCAGAGTCCCTGTGGGGCGGGGGCTCCACTTGATTCATACAGGAAGCTGAAGAGAGACCTGCTGGAATCCCACTCTCCTACATCATTCTGACATTTGTCATTCTAGCTTTGTGACTTTGGGTTGATTTGTTTATCCTTCTCTGTTTTGATGGGTTTATTTTTAAAATGGGATCAACTTGACTCACTTGGTGAGGTGGACTCTAAAGTTGAATGAGTTCACGCACAGGGTTATTATGGGTAGTAGAAGTGTATCCCCTAAAACATATGTTCAGGTTCTATCTCCCAGTATGTTATGTGAGCTTATTTGGAAATTGGGATATTATAGATATAGTTAAAAATGAGGTCATTCTAGAGTAGGGTGCACCTCTCATCCAATATATTGATGTTCTTAAGAGAAAGTGGCTACATTAAGGCAGATACACAGGGAGAATACTACATGATGACCAGGTGGAAACTGGAGTGACCAGTTGCAAGTCAGGAATTTTTGAATTTTCTAGAAAGCTACCAAAAGTCAAGGATGAATTCCCCTATGTTTTACAAATGTCATGTCCCTGCAGACACCTCAATTTTAGTTTTTTGGATTCTGGTACCGTGAGCAAATCCATTTGTATTTTTGAGCCACTCAGTTCTTGGCACTTAGGTTTGTCAACTCTAGGAAACTTAAAGGAGAGGCTTTGCACAGTGGCTGGGTAACAGCACTCCCACAACTCAGTGTGGTAAAACAATGTGTACACACACATGATTTTACTCTAAGGACTCTTCGTCTGGTAGAAGAAGATGGTGAGACATTAGCTACTCTCAAACATCATTCTACCTGATTCTTCTATCCCTGCAGCCACTGAGATTTTAGAACTCTCAATCATGGGATATCTTTTAACCTTCACATCATTCTTATGGGGGAAGAAAAGAGTGACAAATGAGGAAAGAGAAAGGTTCAGGAGGACCCGGGAACTGGACATCAAGGGCTCCATTTGCCACAATCCCAGCACAGTTGGGAAATTGGCTCAGGGCTGAGCTTCTTGTTTGGGTTAGTGGGAAGTAGGTGTTGATGCCAGATGTGACTTCTCTAAGGCATTACATGGTAATGCCTTGATACATGTGTACTTTCTTTATCCAGGAGTACTGTTGAAGATTATGGGAACTGATTTTTTTTGTGGTGGCACTGGGGTTTGAACTCAGGTCTTTTGTATTTGCAAAGCAGTCATTCTACCGCTTGAGCCACACCTCCAATCCATTTTGCTCTGGTTATTTTGGAGATGTGTACTTATGAATTATTTGCCCAAGCTGTCCTTGAGCCATGATCCCCCAATCTCAGCCTCTCAAGTAGTAGGATTAGAGATGTGAGCCACTGGTGCTTGGTGGGAACTGATTCTTGTTGTCCTCCTAGATCCAGTTCTTCCTTCCTGTTTTGAACTGTAGGACTGATGTTTGCCACAACAAAGGAATTTGGCATGTTATTGTTAAAAATGTATGTGGGGAAGCCTTCAAAAACAGTGGGAACTAAGAATTCTAAGCATCATCTAAAGATAGTGAATACGTATTCTACTAAACAGACATTGCAAGATTTAAAATTTTAGACTCACTGGTTTTAGGATTTGACAGTTGTCACTCCAACAATTCTAAGACTCTTTGAGTGGAGTTTGTTTTTTATTGTTGTGCTGGGTGGGGAAACATTGTAGCATTTACAAAGATTCCTACAATGTATCAAATACATCATACTTGAATTCACCCCCTCCACTGCTCTCCATTATCCTTCCTCCCGTTTCCTGGAAGTTTCAACAGGTATCATTTTTGCATTTACATACGTGTGTATACATTATTTGCACCATATTCACCCTCCTACTCCTTTTCCCCCAACAGTCTCCCTCCCACTGGTGCTAACCTCCCCTCTCCCCCAGCAGAACCTGTTTGCCTTCCTGTTCTTAGAAGAAAATACATATGAGATAACAACAACAACAAAAAAATGACATGACAATTTTGCTAGTTTGAGATAAGGTAGTTTCCTTGTGTTGTTTCCATGCATATATGTATTACAATCCCAAATAGTTCATCTCTTCTAGTCCTCTTCACTTCTCCCTAGTGCACTTCCCATGGTTACTCCTGCCAGTTTAAGATTTCTATATTCATTACTGTATAGTGAGCATATCAACCCTATTCAAGTTTTTGGTTTCTTTCCCTTGTTTCCTGTGCACAGCTTCCCCTTAGTGTGACCCATATCCCATAATATTGCTGCATTTGTTTTAGATCTATTATCTGCATATAAGGGAGAACATGTGGCTTTCAGCTTTCTGAGCCTGACTATCTTCACTTAACATAATGGTCTCCAGTTCCATCCATTTACCTGTGAATGACAAAATTTCATTCTTCTCTGTGGCCATATTTTCTTAATTAATCCATACCAGTGGGGCATCTTGGCTATTTCCATGGCTTAGCTATTGTGAATAGTGCTGCAATAAACATGGGTGCCTTTGTTGTAACTGGACTCACATTCCTTCAGTATATCCCTAGGAGTGGTATTATTGCTTGATTGTATGGCAGATCTATTTTTAGTTGAGTGCAGATTTTTAGAAACCCTCTGAAGGAGACATGCACATGGATATATACATACATATATTCTGACAATGGGTCATTACCTAGCGTGTTTATAATAATAAAGTTTATGACTCCTTGTGTTCTTAACTATCCCTACATACAAGAGCAGAGAGTTGCCTATTTATGGATCCCTGCCACAAGCTATAGAGAATGGATATTGAGAAAGATGAGAATTATAACCAGTTATGAAAATTGTAAGCCACCACACATCTCTTCACTTGACCACAATTCTGGTCTTTAAAATGGGGTATATATTCACTGTCTGCTCATACATGGCATTTAGTTTAAGACCACTAGAATTCCCAGATTGTTCAGATTGTGCACCACTTAACTGTCCCACTTTTCTGAGGATTTATAATTATTCATTTGAGAACAAGCAAGTGGTGCTGAAACTCTTATTTTGAGCAGTCAGGCTAATTCCAGATTCATCAGAAATAGCCTTGTCTTCAGAACACATGGGAGAACACTTATTCATGCACTGTACACACATCTGTGTGTGAACACATACATGAATATGCATATATGCCAATTTTGTGTTCGCCTTGCCTTATCTCAAAGTGTTTGTCACCATTACACCCATTTTCAAAAGACATGAGTCTTGTGCCCTAGACTGAATCAAAACCAGACACAGTGTCCTTACCTGGTCATGGACTGTGATGCTGTACTAATCAAGGTGTGCATAGACTATGAAAGTGTAGGCAAGTCAGTCTCTAGCCAGAGATCTTGAAATACCCCTGAAAAGGGATGTTCATGTTACATGAAAATATACTAAATGGTTTAGTTGAGGAAGAAGTGATGTTTTAGAATCTTCTTAAAGGTCTGGGGGGCTCAGCTCAATGTTTAAGAACTTGCTGGAAATTTATGTTCTGTGGGACCTTAATGACTTAAATTTTCTAAGCCTCAGCATGTCACTCATCTCTAAAATTTGTATTAACATTATCCCTGCATAGGTTTGTGATAATTAATTGGAAACATGAGATGCTTTTAATACAGAGCTGACACAAAATAATTGCTCAGTGAATAATAGCTGTTATCTTTATTATTACTGTTCATACTACAGTATGATTTTTCACTTTCTCTCAGTCCAGTTCCCAAGGATTTAACTTTGGAAATGCAAGCATTCTGTTCTGTTTCTTCTCCCTTCCCTATCCACCGAATCTCTACCTTTTGCCCCAATTTTTGTCTTTTCCTTTACCTCATCTCTCCCATAAACCCCTCCCTAACTTTCTTCATTCTCTTTTACTCTCACCTCTCCCTCTAATCCCTCCCTCACCCTGTCCTACTCATTTTTCTCTGCCATGGCTCATCCCAGGCTCAGCGGGGCAGGAAGCTCATGGTATATTTTAGTGGGAGTGTAGTGATTCCTGTTTGCATGCGTGACACTTCCATGTCCTGTGGCATCTGTGCAGACTTGAACTGGAAGTGTTGCATGATGGTGGTGACAAAGAGAAAGAGCTCCATTCTAGCCAGGCCTTCTCCAAGACAGGATCGCTTTCCTGAAGATGAGAGAAGGGAGGGCAGAGGTGAAACCAATTCTCATTGCCACATCATTCCAGTACCAAACTCAAGTCACATTATTTCTTCATATTACTTTTTAATTTTATTAGTATTTAATAGTTGTACAGGAGATACATTGTGATATGTGCTTACAACGTGTATTAGATTTTTCCCCCTCCAATATTCTCCCTATGCCCCCTTCCCACTTCTTAGAACAATTTTAACAGGTTTCATTATTCTATTATTATATAGGAATACAAAATACATCCACCCTATTCATCCTTTCCTTATGCCTTTCCCCCTCCAACTGGTACCCAATCCTGGAAAAGGCCTGTTTTACCCTCCTGTCTTTCATTTCTTTAAGTGTATATTGATAGTCCAAGGAGATTTCACATTGGTACTTCAGGCTTATATATATCATGATTTAATCAAATTAACCCCCTATTACTTATTCTTTCTGTATCACTCTGCTCTTTTTTTATTCCACATCTTATAGTGCATTATGTTATATTCATATGTCAGTGGGGTGTTTCAATATTTTCCATTCTCTAACATTCTCTTTCCCTTTCCTGCCTCCCATAGTCCCCTCAGACAGATCCACTAATAAAATCATTCTCTCTCTCTCTCTCTCTCTCTAGACATATATAAGTATATATACATATGTATATGTATATTATATATATGATTATGTATGTATTTATGTGTACAATTAACTTATAGGTATTGCTTCCACATCTGAAGGAAAACATGTGACCCTTTACTCATTGAGCCTGGCTTATTTCCCTTGATATGATGTTCTTCAGTTACAATTCACAATAGCCAAGCTTTCAAAACAGCCGAGATGCTGTTTTTGCTCCACAACTGATGAATGGATTAAGAAAATGTGGTATGTATGCACAATGGAATTGTATTCAGCCATAAAAAGAATAAAATTATGTTGTTTGGCAGGTAAATGGATGGAACTCAAGCCACATTCTGTATGGAGAAGGGCTATATGAATTGTGGACTGAGAAACATTTGGTTAAGGTTCTAATTCTCTCTGTGACTGAATTTTCTTATAACATGAGATGGAATGATTCAAGTTGTAGCAAATACACTGTCAAACATAGCTGCTGTGCTCTAATCTCCTTTCTAAGAGTTGGAAGAACTTTATGTGTGACCAAGGAAGATCTCTGACTGACTCTGAGAATTGATATTTCTCATGTCTGAAAAATCATTCTCATCATTTTCCTTTGGCTGAGTACAAATACTTTGTGTTCTGGAGTTAAGGAGTTTGCATCTGGCAAGATGAAGAGTTGAACTGAAATAAGCTTCCAAGGCTAAGAAAATCCGCAAGCTAGCTAGCTGAGATCAAGGGGGGCTGAGATTAGCTGCCCCTGTTCATGTGACCAGTAAACACTGGGCACTTACCCATGGAGAAAGGCATAAAAGCTTCAATCTTCTTAAACTTCCCCTTCTCATCTAGGAAGTGATGGGGATCGAAATTTTCAGGGCCTGGGAAGAACTTGGAGTCAGTCATCAGGGTGCCCAGCATAGTGAGTACCTCAGTGTCCTAGAGAAGAGAAGGAGGACTTAATAAGGCAGGTAGATGGATGAATGTGCTAAAAGTACTGTGTTCATACTGTGGGGAATTAGAGTGCCAGGAGATAAAAAGGAAGGCATGGGAATTAGAGTCCTTTGAAAGGGGAGTTGTGAGATGAATGTCCCTGAGATAGGAAGGTTTTTGGAGACTTTATCTTTGTCTCCTGAGGCATGGAATTTGGGATCAATGAGGTTCATGTTCTCTTAAATAGGATGTTTGGGTGACATGGAGCTTGTGTCTCCTGGGGGGAGGACTTTGGTGTATATGAGCCTATACCTTAAAAGACAGGAAGATGACAGAACTGGGAAATTGATTTGCCCTGAGTCAGGAAGTTGTGGACATAGTGTTGATTCCTGAACACTATATCAGGGCAGACATGGAAATCAGTAGATTTTGAATGGAATGGTTGAAGAAATTTGGTGGTTGAGAAAGTCATTGACTGAGGATGTAAGAACAGGGTGGAAATTTTCTAAGAGAGAGAGCATGCTGGAGTCCTAGGCAACTGACTGACAATCCCTTTAAGCAGAGCAGGGCAGCACCTTAGGTATGAAGAAACCCCGAAATCTGGTGTCCTTGGTGACCATGCGTGCCAGGCCCATAGCAGACATGCCTCCGTATCTCAAGGACTCATGAATCACTGCCTCTGTGTAGGGCATCTTGATGTGGTCCTCAAACTTGGGCTGCCGGTCCCTGCCAATCACCTGGTCAATCTCTTCATGGACCTTGGCTGGAGGATAAGGATAGTGTGTTTAGATATCTGAGTATATCAGAGAAGAGGATAGCCCAAATAAATAACATTGTATGTATGATATACCCATACATAAACCATTCAGAATGGATGTTGGTGATAAGTATTTTCTGGCCGGTTTATTGTTATACTTTTCAGGTCAAAATCATGGGAAATCAAAGGGAGGAATCGAGGCAATGGTCTGAGGGAGGGGGAATTTGGCATTCAGATATCTTTGGAAGAGTCATTCTCTAATCAGTTCAGACACTTGCAATATTTTTAACTAGTATTTGTCACATAATATACCCCATATTTGCATAGTAAGGTATATCTGAGGGTCCACAGTCCAGGGACATCAGAGGAGTTGGGAGTCTGTGGCCCCCACTTTCCTGTACCCTTTCGCCTTACCTGCCACATCTGGGTACTTCATGAGCAGCTGAAAGCAATAGCGCAGATTTGTGCTCACTGTTTCTGTGCCCGCAAAGAAGAGTGTCAATGTGATAATCACCAGGTTCTTCACATAGAACTCTGTGTTGGGGTTATTCTTCTCCTGAAGGGAGAAAGGCCTTTTGATTGAGCTTACTCCACATGTCATTGGGGTCATTCTGGGTTTTTTGCTTGGACCCACCTCTCTTCAGTCTAGACTTAAGGCAAGAAGATGTAATCTAGATCTGCCAGGCTATCTCTAGATTGCAGTCCTTATCCCAGGCTGTTGACTCTGACTGAACTGCTCTTATCATGTTCTTTTCCTGGGTGATTATCTGTCCTTTAATTATCAACTTAGTTCTCATTTTTCAAACTGAAGGAATATTCAGAAAGAGCGGGAGAGAGCATGTGTATGAGTGTGAAAATGGCAGTCAGAGATGTCAAGATGCAGTGTCAGTGCAAGAGACATATATTTTATGAGTCAAAGGCACAGAATTTTGTGTAATAGCTTCCTATCCATTCTGAAACGTCTTGAAACTTCCTGAATAGGAATCCCTTCATTGATCTTTTGACTTGTAGACTAAATATAGCTCTATCCCTTTCCGTACAGATGGGAGACTCTCATGCAGGTGAGAGTTTGCATCCTTCAGTGTCACCTAATAAAGCCTATCCCAATCAGTGTATCTGATAACCAGGCTAGGAAATGTAAGAGATCATAGTAACCTTTAGAGACAGAGAGACAAAGGTTTGAGCCAAATTCCCCTGCTTCTTTGGTGTGTGTCTCCAGGCAAGTCACAAATACTCTTTGGAATACTTATTGGAATATTTATTCTTTGGTTTATATGGGGTTATTTTATAACATGTTCATGATTTATTGTGGTGCCTGACTAATGATAGTGGTAAGGAATTTGTTGCTGTAATGGTTTGCTTGCCTGTGTCCTGCTTTCAGTAGGATGGAACAGTGATAGCTAATGTGATTGGCATAGTGAAGATTATTGTGATTAGGCCAATTCAAATGGATCCTTTTTTATCCTCTCCTTCCTAGCATGATTTCCCTCTGTCTGGCTTTTGATATCCCCACTCAGGCTGCTTGGGTGCACCTCCTGCATGCGGATGAGAAAGGAGTCGATGACATTCCTTGGAGAATTGGGATCCAAGGTTTCCTGGTTCTGCTCCACCTTCTTGATTATGAATGCTTCCAGTTCCAGCAGCTTCTTAATGGCCTGTTGCTGTGGCCCTGGCAGGTGATTCATCACAGAATAGAACATCTCATAGAGCTGGTTTTGGGGAGAGAGGACATTAAAAAAAAGGCAAATGTCAGTAGATAGCATACAATCTGTCTTGAGGCAAGCTCAAGACAAGAAATGCACCGAGTTCAAGGTATTTCTCCATGTGTTTAGGTATTTGGTGGGGCTGGATGGCATACACAATTGTATATGTGTGCTTAGTATGGAGGGCTATTATCCAAAGTTTAGGGGAGATGGATTGAGACACACATGCAGCTTTCAGTCATTCAGATGAGGAAGGATTAGGACACATTTAAAGGTGTTCTGATATACAAATAAGATTCACATAGATGGATTTCAGGTGCTGAGCTACTCTGGTGGGCTACCATGGGCTTTACCTATCAAGATGTTTAGGAATTCAGGTAGGCTTGGCTGTATTAGCTGTCCAGGTACTTTTAGGTTTTAAATTAAGGGATGCTTTATAGGTTTTAGATATTATAATGAGGTCATGATTCAGGTGTTAACATGGGGAATAACTGTTCAAGTACAGAAGTGCTGAGGTCAAATGATTTTCCTGGCCCATATTTGGTAGTGCCAGCTATTCAAGTATTCAGAAGGGGCTGTTATGTTCACTTGTCAGTGTTAGTACTTCCAGATGGACTAAATAAGGAGTGTCTGTTAAAAATTAGCGTTAGTTGGGTGGTACAGCATTCCTCTTGTATTAAAGCTGATGAGAAGCAGATATTTTGCATTCAGAAACCTTTGGGGGATTATATTTTGAGCTATCCAGGTGTCCTTTGTTGGCAATAATGGCGCCGATAGGTTTCAGTTCTTACTGCACCCTTAAGCTTCCGCTTTCCAGGGTCACAGTTCTGCCTCAAGTCTAGCTTGAATCCTCCTTCTGCCCCCAACCTCCAATCAGCATGAACCATAAGATCCTAACCAATCAGGTCATGCTGAGTCTCACTGAGGGGTATTTAAGCCCTTGCCCCTCCTGCTTCTCTCTCTTGGCTCTCTGCTCTCTCCCTCTCCCACCCAGCAATAAAGAATCTCTTGGTCAGATCACTCCTCTCCACGTGGTCGCTTTTGTGGCCTATATTTCCTTACATCCTTGGTAATGGAGTTTTTGGACTCCTAACCTAGGTCTGGTTCTGAGGCAATTGCTCAGTTGTCCAACATGGGGGTTTATTTGAGGAGAACATGTCTGGAAGAGTAATGTGAGACTAAGCTGTCAGCTTCTGGTAAGAGCCTGGTAGAGTCAAACTGGGATAAATCACCTGGCCTGCAGATGAAGACATAAACTGCATGAGTCCCAGCATTCTTTTCAGAAGTGACAGGAACTCTTCATCCTCATAGTCAAAGCGGTCCCCAAAGACAATGGAGCTAATGATATTGCAGACTGCTTTGCTCAGGTAGAAGGTGGGATCAATGTAGGCACCTATGAGGGAGGTTGGGGTCAGGAAGAAACAGGTATTGGAAAAGACAGAGTCAAGTGTAGGTATGATTCCAGTCTTAGATTTTAAGGACACTTCCACAGTGATGAGCAAATTTCCAATCCCAGATGCCAGTTCTTGTAAGCATAGACATCTTTAACCCATTCACTTCTTGTGCCACAACATGCATGTCCTTCCCATTTGTTCCTTTTATTCACCTTCTCAAGCATTCATAGTCTCCTTACTCACCTCTTGTATCCTGCAGCGTCTCCTTAAGGAAGCTTGCTTCCTCCTGTATTCGCTCTTCGATGCTACGCTTGCCCATGCCAAAGTCACGCAGTGTGGTAATGCAGAAGCGTCTAAGTTGTTTGGCATGATCCTCATTGTTATGTCCCAATCCTGGAGAAGTCAGTATTAGGAGTAGGGAAAAGTCAGAGATCAGCTGAGTCAGGCCATTTCCCACCCTGGATGGGGCTCCCAACAGGGACTGATTCAGACAAAGGAGGATAAATAATGAAAATGGATAAGTTCATAAGAGTTATAAACTTATTGGAGAGTCAGGTTAGTGAATTTGAGGCATGCAGTACCCACCTGTTTGCCATAAAGTGGAATAAAACATATGGAGGGCATCTGCTTACTGAGGTGAGTGAGTGTGGATGAAGAAGTTCATTAGTGGACACATAAAGACTCTGAGAAAAACAGAGAATTTGGGTAGTAGAATACAGAGTGAAAAAGCATAGCCCAGCAACAATCACGGTGCTGCATGATGGTGGCAGCAGTGGAGGTACAGGGAGAGAGAGTACAAGTTAGTACCATTACACAGGATTTTGGACCACCCTGCATAAACGTGATTTAAATATGCAATAAACTTGAAACCTACAAAATAGACTGGTGCTGGGAAGTTCCCTGCACTTACCAGCATAGTGTCATGGTGGTATAATCTGGAGTTATCTTGAGAATGCTTGTTTTTTACTATTACTCTGGGAATCAAAGATTCCTACATTTTAGTATCTCTGGTTTCATGTGGCAATTTTTCTGCAGTGTCTCAGTGGGTGACTACTTTGAGAGTCCAGTTGGCACAGGGGAGACCCTATGACACAAACCCACTGAGAAATATATATATATGGTGGGAACATGAATTGTGATGTACAAGAGAACAGGAGAAAATTCTTCTTTAAGTCTGATAATTTGTGAAGCCAGCTTCAGGTATCCAGGGGGCAAACACTCATGTATGATACCATGTGGGACCTGTGTTTCATAACATCAGAGACATGGATGATGGATGGCATGGACCGGTTTTCACCCCACACACAGTACAGGTAGATCCTTCTACAAAGTCTCTCCCTGCTCATATTTGTGTTCAGGGATCATTGACATGCTGCAGTTCCCAGTGTTGGTACTATACTGGATTGTGAAGTGCAATGGCTCCAAAGGGAAATGCTGACAGATGAGTTCCTTAACATGCTAGTTTGTAGATGCATCACAATATTAACATTTGAACACTCTAGAATACTCATCCTAAATAACTCAGCTATGTATTCTATGTTCTGCCTTAACTCATTCTGTTGTTCAAGGCAGCTGAGATGTATTCCAATGGTTCTGGCCAGAAACAACTACTGATGGTCACCTTGTGAGTACTACAAAAGAAAGAAAAATGGAGTGAATAACTTCCAACATTTGCTATCTCCAAGGGTTGGCAGCCTAAAAAAGAAGAAAAGAAACTCTGAATGATCTAGGTTGTAAACATTCACTCTTGTCTGAACTATTGAGCTTCTTTACAAAGAAGAAAATTTTTTATTAATACAGTTTATGAGGAATTGTGACCACACTCTCCTCTTAAAGGACTTTGAATAAAATAAAAGAGTCATCAATCCCTTCAGATGTGCAAATCTTAAGGTAGAAATTGGAAAAATGAAAATGGAGGGCAATATGACTCCTACAAAACCTCACAATTCCTCAAAAAGTGAATGCAAAGATACTAACATGGCTGAAAAGTGAGAAAGAACTCAAAATTCTATTATTAAAATGATCAATGTCCTCAAGGAGGATTAAAACAAACAGAAGAAAGAAGTAAGGTAGTCAATTCAATACCAGGATGAGAAAGTCATCAACATGTATAAGAAACTCAGCAAGGGTAATGAGAATGTAAAAAAAAAAAAGAGAGAGAGAGAGAGAGAGAACCAAACAGGAATGTTGGAAATGAAAAACTGAATAAATCAAAGAAAAAGACAGTAGAAGTCATCATCAATAGACTATATCAAGCAGATGGAGGAATAGGGATTGAAAACACAGTTGAAGAAATACTACATTTGGACAGAAGTAATGACAAAATACCTAACAAAGCACAAACACAACTTTTCAGAATTCTGGGACATGATCAAGAGCTGAAGAATCCATTGGGTTGAAGAAAGAGCTGAATCAAACTAAAACACACTCAAATAAATTACAGCAATTTCCTCCAATATAGGGAAAGATGTAGATATCTAAGTACAAGAGGCATTTAGAACCCCAAAAACACAAGACTAGATAAGAACCTCTCCATATCAAATTATAGTTTAAAAAGCCAAGACTCAGAACAAAGAAAGAATATTGAAAGCTGAAGTAGAAAAATTTCAACTTATTACAAAAGTAAAACTATCAGATTTACAAAAGTAAAATCATCATACCTCACAACAGATAACCCATAAAACAGGAAAACATGGAATGATATATTTCAAACCCTGAAAGTAAATAAATGACAACCAAGATTAGATTACTATATCTAACAAAGTTTTCCATTAAGATGATCTTCCAAGATAAAATTTTCCATAATAAGCAAAACCTAAATTTATTTACTAGCATGAAGCCAGAATTTCAGAAGATATTTAAGGAGGTGCTATAGACAGATGAGAAAGACTGATAGTCACAAACATGACAGCTCAGGAAAGAATAAATTTCAAGAGCGGAACAGAAGAACAAATGAAACTCAGGAAAGAATCCAACATGTTTAACTCTTTAAGCCAGAAAACATTCAAGATGCATAAGGGAGAAAAAAAGAACAAGCATACTGTAATTGACCCAACCCCCCCCAAATCCACAAGGAATCAGAAAATACCTCTCAATAATAAACCTAAATGTAGATTGGTTGATTGAATTAAGGAAACAAGATCCAACCATTTGTTTTCTGTAAGAGACATGCCTCCTGATCAAAGACACACATAGACTGAGCATGAAAGATGGAACATGATATACAAAGCAATGGGAAACCAAAAGCATGCAGAAGTCGCTGAGCACATATCTGACAAAGTGTGCTTGAAGCCAAAATGGTTCTGAAGAGATTTATTTTGAAGGGATTATATGAACACATATATACTTACTGGGCATAAAAGGGCACATAAGACATACATGTCCAGCCAAAATAGTAGAGGTTGACATCAATGCCACAGTTTTGTTGATGTTTGTCAACCAGACCAAAAAATCAACAAACTTCATAGTTAAACTGCACTGTAGATCAAATGGCTTAACAGACATTTATGTAATATTACATCAGACATAATTAGAATACACATTATTATCAGAAGATCATGGGACTTCCTCCAAAATAGATCCCAGGTTAATCTATGAAGCAATGGAAGAAAATAAGACATCAAAGGCAGAGACACTATAGAAGATGCACAAACACATGGATATTGAACAAAATACTTTTGGATGATCAATGGGTCATTGAAGATACCAGGGAGAAAATTTAAAAGTTCATAGAATCAAGTGAAAATGAAGATACCACATACCCAACTTTGTGGTACACAAAAAAGACAGTTTTCAGTGGGAAGCTTATTACTACTAGTGCCTATATTAAAAAAAACAAAGGTATTAAATAAATAACTTAGTGATATTCATCAAACTCTTAGAAGAAAAAAACAAACCAAGCCCAACTTCGTAGATGGGATGTAATAATAAAAGACAGAAATTAAGGAAGTGGAGATAAAAAACAATGCAAAGAATTGATAAAATAAATAGTTGATATCTTGAAAGATAAACAAGACTGGTGATCCCATAGATGATGCAACCCCTCAAAGAAAAACCAGAGAAGAACCACATTAATGAAAGATGAAAAGAGAGATATTAGAACATACACCAATGAAAAGCAGAGTTTCATTAGGGACTCTTTTGACAGAATGTATTTAAATATATCAAAAGTTGAGAAGATAGGCAACAATTTCTAGATACATATGACTGATTAAAATTGAACTAAGAGGATAGAAACCACCTAACAAGATCTATAAAAAGCAATGAAGTAGTAATAAGGAGTCTTCCAACAAAGAGGAACCCAGTCCAGTGGATTCACTAAAGAATTATGCAGATCTTTAAAGAAGAAATAACATTAATTTTATTCAAACTATTCCATAAAATAGAAAGGGATGACATGCTACAAAACTCATGCTATGAATCCAGTGGTACCCTGATAGCAAAACCATATGCAGATACACATAGAAAAGAGAAAATTATAGAACAATAACCTTGATGAACATAAATATAAAAATCCTTAATAAAATACTACAAGCTGAATGTAACAAACACATCAAAAAGGATCACACATTACAATTAAGTTAGTTTTATTCTAGGGGTGCAAGGACAGTCCAACATTTACAAAGGAATAAAGGTAATACATAGCATAAATAGACTCAAGGACAAAAATTAACATGATTATCTCCATAGAAACAGAAAAAGCCTTTAACAAAAGTCAACATTTCTATGATAAAGCTCTGAAGAAACATAAAAAGAGGACATACCTCAATATAAAAAAGGCTATGCATGACAAAACTCTAGCCAATATTGTGCCAAATGGGAAAACACTGAAGTATTTTCTTTTAAAATCAGGATTGAGTCAAGGCTATCTACTCTTCCTGCTCGTATTCAACACGGTGCTAGAATTCTTAGCCAAAGAATAAGGCAAGAGAAAAATATAAAAATAGGAAAAGGAAATGCTCAATTAATCCTATTTATAGACTGCATGATCCTATACTTAAAAAATCCTAAAGACTGCACCAGAAAACTATTATATGTTAAAAGCTTTAGAAAAGTAGCAAGATACAAAATTAGCCTACAAAAATCTGTAGCTTTTCTATATACCAATAACAAACATGCTGAGAAAAAATTCAGGAAAACAATCCCATTCATAATAGTCTAAAAAAAATACCTAGGAATATATGTAGCCAAGGAGGTGAAGGACCTCTACAATGAAAACTATAAAATACTGAAGAAAGAAATAGAAGACACTAAAAGATAGAACTACCTCCCATGTTTATGAATCTGAAAATTAACCTTGTGAAAATGTTATATTACTGAAAGTGATTTAAAGACATGATGAAGTCTCCATCTACAAATCACACATCTGCAATAAGCAATCCCAATGACATTAT